GCCAAAAGCCCAAGGCCAGCCTGGGCAGGGGTCTGGCTGTGAGCAGCGTTGTGTGGCTGTGCAGGGGCTCGGGGTGGTGACCACGGAAGTGTCACTCGCATCCCTCCCTGCCCCAGAGGGGTCACCGTGTGGGACATGTTGGCTTTGCACATTAGTGGATTTTCATTAAGCTTGTTTCACACTCCAGTGGTGGTTTTGGTGTGGTTTATTTCTCCAGCAATTCAGAGAAGCCACAGGGCTCCACTGTGAGGAATCTGAGGAATCTGAGGCCATCCCTGATGGAGAGAATGCAGAAAGAGCCTTCCAAGGACTGCAGTGGTTGGCTTTGCCTCAGTGCCCAGTGCTGACAATGCCAAGGGCTGGGTTTGATCCCAATATGGACCATTCACTTCAGAGCAGACTCAATGATCTTTGTGGGTCCTTTCCAACTCAGAATATTCCGTGAAATCAAATGATATTGAGGCTTAAGGGATTCAGTCAGGAGCAGTGTTTCCACCAGCTGTGGAATGAAGGAAGGTCTGTTTGTTTTTTGTTTGGTTTTTGGGACACACCTACCCTCCGAGACCCCATCAGGATAAATCCACCTCTGTTCACAGCCTCATGGTGACATCACAGCATGATCAAGGCTCTGAGAGTGAGGACTCTCCATATCTGATCTCCTCTGTGTGTCACAGGGCACAGTCAGCTGCCTGGGCATCGTGTCAGGATCCAGCTGAAGCTGTTCCTGCTGACTGGACCTGGGAAAATCACTCTGAGGCCTGGCTGGCTCTTCTAAACTGGTTTTAAAGCTCAGACATCCAGTGCCAGCCTATTGCTGATTCACAGGACTGGGAGCCTCTCTGTGCACCCCTGGCACAAAGGGTGTGACAAGGACCATGTTTTGTGGCATTGCAGAGTGCTCTGTTAGCAAAAAATCCAGGGATTGTCTCCATCTTCTGAGCAGTCTTGGGGCCACATCTGGGGTCCTGCATTCTCTCTGGGGCTCCCAGTATCACAGTCATGGACAAACTGGAACAGGTCCAGCAGGACAGTGAGGTTAGCCTGGGGCTGGAGCATGAGAGGTGAGGGCAGCTGAGAGCTGGGTCTGATCAGCCTGGAGAGGAGGAGGAGGCTGAGGGGCATCGAGGGAGAGAACAGCAGAAATGTCCACAAGACACAACCAGCAAAATCCCAATGGAATGTGAGGGAAAGTTTCTGCCCCACAAGAACAAGGCAGCTGGGGGCTGCTGCTCAGAGAGCCTGTGGGAGCCCCATCCATGGGGATCAGATTCTCTAGGTCTCATCTGGACACAGTCCTGAGCAAAACGATCTGATTTTGAAATTACTCTGCCAGCCTGTGGGGACCAAAAACATCCAGAGATCGTTTCTGACCCAGACCTTCCTGTGACTTCATTCCTGTGCACTCCCTGGTGTCTGTGATAAGAGGAGCAGCAGTGAGGAGGTTCCTGCCCTTCCAGAGCCACTCCCTTGCCCCAGGTGGAGGAAAGACGCTGAGGTTGCTGTAGTCATTCATCTCGCCTGCCTCCTCCCACCATGCAGCACATTTGCCTCATTAAGCTCGTTAGATGAGCCCCACCTCATCCATTTGGGTCTTTTGCTGAGCCAGACAAGAGCAGGTTCACCAGGTACCAGATGAGTCACACACGTTCTGCTGTAGCTGTTGTCTTGTTCATCTCCCTCAGGAGAGGCAGGAGATGCCTTGGAGAAGTCCTGTACTCCCAGACTGGGGAGCAGTGCATGAAGAACATCTCAGAGATCTCACTTTGACCAGGAGAAACCCAGAGCTGAGGAGCTTCTCCAGCTGCAAGGCCACTGAACCTGTGCCTAAATCACAGGATGTTGCCACATCCCAGTGTTGTGGGACAGCTCTGGCTGCACATGGGCCCTGTCCTGGAAAAACCTGGTGTGTAAATGTGGGATCAGCTCCCAGAGGAAGCGGCAGAGACACCATGGGCTGTGTGCTCCCCTCAGTCCAGTGCCATTCCTGCCACAGGGCATCCACAGCATGGCCACTTCCTTCTTGTCTCCAGAGACAGAGATGTTTGTCTTGAAAATCACAGATGTCCTACAGAATCTGTGTCAACAAGGAAGCAGCGAGCTCCAGCAAGAGCTGACAGGCTCCAGAAACATTCACCTGTGTTTTTTCTTCATGCCAGCATGAGAAACTGTTCCCAGGAGTTTGGAAAGATGTGGCCTGAAGCAGTGGGACAGGGATGTCAAGGCGGGAGGGGAGCAGTGCCACGGAGCCAGGGGAGGGCTGAGGTGACACAGAGTTTCAGACTGCTGGGTAATGGGGCTTTGCTTGAGCAGAAATCAATGGAAGGACTGGCCTCAGGATCTATTGGAATCATGGAATGGTTTGGGTTGGAAGGGCCCTTGAAGATCATCTTGTCCCACCCTCTACCACGGGCAGGGACACCTGCCACCAGACCAGGTTGCTCCAAGCCCCATCCAGCCTGGCCTGGGATAGGAGTTCTCTGCTGTCCTTCTAGTTTTGTTCTCCTGGACAAAATGAAGAGCTCAACAATGCTGCTGAGGCTAATCCTCAGCACACCTTCCTTCAGGAGTGCAGAAACCCAGGCAGGTGAAGGAAAATGGTGCAGCAGTGTGGTGGCAGACCTTGTGTTACCCAAACCCAGCCCCTTGGCACCCAGACATTGGAAACTGCAGTGCTCTGAGTGGAAAAGCAGCAGTGAAGAGGCAGACAGCAGAGCAGAAAAATGGCTTTTGTTGGTGTGTTGGAGAGGAGTTGCTCAGTGATAATTCATTGTGATGTGCAGGAACATGCTGGGGCCGTGCTCGTCCAAGCACCACGGTCCTGCCAGCACAATCCCAGCTGGCACAGCTCCTGTCACTGCCCCTGATGCCAAGGGGAGCCAGCCTGGAGCTGGGTGAGAGGTGCCTTCCTTTGGGTGCTGCTCCTCCAGGCTGTTTCTCAGAGCTGTCAAATGAGTTGTTCTTCCATGAAATATTGTAAGGGCTGGACTTGGGAAAAGCCCATCTGAGTGCAAACCTCTCTGCATCCGTTTGGCCTGGCATGCAAGTGATGGGGAAGCTTTCACGCAACCACTCTCCCAGCCCTGAGGCTTCCCCCATGCACCGAAGCTGCCACAGCACTGAGCCTGTGCTGGCAGATGTGCCAGGGTTAAGGCTGGGCTGGGGCTGGGCAGATGTGCCAGGGTTAAGGCTGGGCTGGAGCTGGAGCTGGGCAGATATGCCAGGGTTAAGGCTGGAGCTGGGGCTGGGCAGATGTGCCAGGTTTAAGGCTGGAGCTGGGGCTGGGCAGATATGCCAGGGTTAAGGCTGGACTAGATCTGGAGCTGGGGCTGGGCTGGCAGCCGGGGATGCCCTGCACTGCCGGGGATGTGCCAGCAGCAGGCTGGGCACCCATGGGTGACAGGGGTGGGTGGGTGTTGGCTGCTCTGCTGTCAGCAGCGAAAATCAGAGAATATCCCAACTTGGAATGGACCCACAGGGATCATTGAGTCCAGCTGTTATGAATGGGTCAGGAGACCAGCTCCTTTTACAAAGGCCTTTATTGAAGGATGCAGCTCTGGGTTGGGGGACCGAGGGGTCGCACACACCGCCACTGGACATCGCAGAGGAGGAGGATCCGTGCACTTTTGTCACTAGGGCAGAGCTGGGCCCTCCTTCCTCACAGGAGTCCCTAGGAAGACTGTTTTACCTGCTTGTAGTTCCCTGGCCCTGGACAAACATCCCAATAATCCCAGCCTGGGCATCCCTGGGAGCGTTGTCCGAACCCTCCCGGAGCTCTGGCAGCCTCAGGGCTGTGCCCATTCCCTGGGGAACCTGGGCAGTGCCAGCACCCTCAGGGGGAAGAACCTTTCCTGAAATCCAAGCTAAACCCCCCTGACACAGCCCCAGCCATCCCCTGGGTCCTGTCCCCGCTGACAGAGATGGGAGCTGCCCCTCAGGCTGTCCCTGCTCCCTCAGGCTTTCCGTGCTCCCTCAGGCTTTCCCTGCTCCCTCAGGGCTGGCAGCAGCTCCCCAGCGCGCCGGGCCAGAACCGCTCCGAGCTTCCCGTGGAGGTGACAGCTCCACGCTGTGATCCAGCACAGGTCCCTGGGCAGCTTTTCCCCGGGCGTGGTGCCCTCCTGGCCGAGTGTCGGGGTCTCGGCCCAGCTGGCCGGGCCGGCGGGGCCCGTGTGGCCGGCGGGGCCCGTGTGGCCGGAGCCCGGAGCGGCGGCCGGGCCGTGCTGTGCGCGGGGCCGGGGGCGGCCGGCTCTCTCTCCATTGTCAGCGTGTCAGGTCAGCTTTGTGCTGCCTGCTCAGGCTGCTGGATGCACCTCCCGTGATTGGCATGTGCAGCTTGCGGCCCCAGCCTGCCTCAGCCTTGGGAAGCTGCTCTGTGCAAACGGGAAAGAGAAAAACACCCATTTCCCCACGGTGGGCAGGGAGGAGTGCATGGTATGGGGTTGGTGGGGCACAATGCTGTGCCTGCTCAAACCGTGGGCTCCTTCTGCCATTTCCCTGCTCGAGACACTGGCCTGTTGCCGCTGAAGATCAATAGATCACACGCACACAGGTCGAGGTGTGGTGAAAAGAAAGAGAGAGTTTATTTTTCCTCCCAGGATTTATAGGCTTCTGACCACGGCCAGGGATTGGATGGTCAGGATAACACTTTCTCACTGCACTGGCCATGAGAGATGCCCGTCACAAGACGTGTAACAGAAAGAATGTACACATATCTATGTTTACAGTTACTGTCCTGGGAAAGTCTTTAGAAAACCATGTCAACAAGCTCAGAAGCTGAGTTTTCAGGGCGACACTGCCCTAAGTACCATTTGTTTCCTCCCCTCACTGCTCTCTACAAACAGCAAAATCCAGGCTCTCCTGATCCCTGGACAGCTCTCCCAGTGCAAGAAGTGAATTCCAGAGCTCCAAACAGCAATAACCCACCTGCCCACCTCCTGCCAGGTGGAGGGTTCTACCTGTGCAGGTGTCTGACTGTCCCTCTCTCCTGTCTCTCTCTCTTCCAGCCCCTTCAGCTGTGTCCATCATGCACCAGGTGAGCCGCACCGTGGACAGCATCACCCTGTCCTGGTCCCAGCCCGACCAGCCCAATGGAGTCATCCTGGACTATGAGCTGCAGTATTACGAGAAGGTACTGAGGGACCTTGGCAGGGGTCACCCACAGCTTTTGGGGAGAGGAGGGGCTGCAGAGCTTCACTGAAGGGCATACAGTGGTTGGTCAGTAGGAGACTTCTGCTGCATTTGGGTGACACGTCGGTGACGGTGGCCGTCAGTCCTTGGGGTCCAGTGATGGTTCCAGTGGCCCAAGTGTAGAAAATCCGCTGGTCATTCAGGAGCTTCTCCTGTCACCTCCACAGAGCTGGTGGCAAGTGGACTCCTTGCAGGGAGAGCAGGGTAGCCAAGGTCCAGGGTCTGTTTTTTCCCTTTTTGTGTACTGGGGCATCAGTAGGAAGCGGGAATGACAGGGAACATGCCCCAGGCTGGAGCACACTCAGTGGGTGTCCAGCGTTGGAGATTTTCTGGAGTTCTGTCCGTGGGTGCATTTGCACCAAAGGTGAGTTTGGCATCTCAAAGCTGCTCCTTCCATAACCTCCCTGTCCAGGCAAGCAGAGGGATTCCAGTCTGGACTGTGCCAGGGTGTCCATCCCACCAGTGGCTCCTCAGAGACCTGAGGACCACATGAAGGTTGGTGCCAGGCTGAACTTCATCTGTACAGCCCAGAGGAGATGGGGAGCAGGAGACTTCTCCTTCCAGGAATCTGCCCCCTTGCACAAGAGCTTATAAACTATACATTATAAATTGCAAACTAACTAATTAAAAAGCTTTATGATTAAATGGAACTGAAAATATTTTTCCCAGCAGTTGCCGGAAGAAATGATTAATCCCCCCCACTGCCTGCCTGTGACCTATTTTCTCATCACCAAGAGCCAGAGGGAGAATGGGGAGGAGGGGGGGGCTTCTTTGTAAGCTGTTAAATAGGTCCTGACCTATATTGCATAAATCACAGCCATTTATTTTGACCCTTGGAAATGATCCCAGAATACGTGGCAAGATGGATGAGTAGATAACAAGACAGATCTGGGAAGCAAGAGGGGTCCTTTCCCTGGGGACCCTCAATGTAGAGGCAGAAGATCTCAGGGAGTACATTCTCCTCCTCTTACTTTATCTTAGTCTCTCACCCTCTTTCTTTCCTCCTTCTCTGTTTTCTGAGGGAGGCTGTAAATAAAGGGAATTTTTGTCTAAAAAATTGGTGGCCAGTCTTTGCAGGCACCCACATCTGCCTGTCCCATTGTCAGAGTTAGGGCACAGCATGTCCCTGATGATGGGGACAAGTGGCCCCACTCTCAGGCACTGCTGTTCGTGGGGCACTAAGCCTGGCACAGAGGGAAGAGCTGGGCTGAGGTTCTCCCTATCCTGGTATTTCAGAGAACCATGGAATGAATCCCAGAATGGTTTAGGTTGGAAGGCACCTTAAAGCTCATTCAGTCCCACTATCCCAGCTTGCCACAAGCCCTGTCCAGCCTGGCCTTGGGCACATCCAGGGATCCAGGGGCAGCCACAGCTGCTCTGGGCACCCTGTGCCAGGGCCTCACCAGCCTCACAGGGAAGAATTTCTTCACAATATCCAATCTCTCCCTGCCCTTGGGCAGTGGGAAGCCATTCCCCCTTGTCCTGCCACTCTATCCCTTGTCCTCAGTCCCTCTCCAGCTCTCCTGGAGCCCCTTTGGGCCCTGGAAGGGGCTCTGAGCTCTCCCTGGAGCCTTTTCTTCTCCAGGTGAGCACCCCCAGCTCTCCCAGCCTGGCTGCAGAGCAGGGGAGTTCCAGCCCTTGGAGCATCTCCATGGCCTCCTCTGGACTTATTCCAGCAGCTCCATGTCCTTTCTGTGCTGGGACCCCAGGCTGGAGACATCTCACCAGAGCAGGACAGAGGGGCAGAGTTGTTTGAACCCCATGAAACCTTTTTTTTGCTGGTTCTTGGTTTGAAGAAGGCCCAGTTCTATCTCCCCAGCCCTGATGTTTGTCTGTGCATAGAGACACTGGATCCTGCTCTGGCTGTTGGGCACAGCTGAGTCCCAGGTGAGTCCAGCCATTGCAATGCTGAGTTTTGCAATCAAAAGCCATTTATTGGATCCCTGGGAACAATCCCAAAATGCAGGGCTTTGGCTCTGCCGTGCTCTTCCCCTGCTTCCCATCAATCCAGCACTTGGATGTGGTGTGTGACACATCCCAGGTGTGTTCTCACTCCGCTGCCAGTCTGTGCAGGGGTGATTTCCTTCCAAATATTTCATTACAAACTGTCCCATGTGCTCCTGAATGCTCAGCAAAGATCTCTGGAGCCGGTTAAGTTGTTTCTGGTGGAAAATTTTTTCCCCCCCAGTAGAAAATTATATTTTATTTTCATGAAAACAGCTCAAATGAAGAATAGCAGCATACACAACGTGTATAAAAAACAACTTGGCTCTTCATTTTTAATAGATTCTCTTCTATATAAAGACATAAATTAAATAAGAAAATAGAAGAATTTATTTTAGCGTTGACAGAAAAGAGCTGTTCACAATACCTGAAACAAAGGTGTAGTTTTGTTTCCCTTCCACAGATTATTTATAACACTGCTATTCTTAGATGCCATTAAAAATGCCTGTACAAAGGCAACATTATGAGTTTCTTTCACGTGGAGTTGGAGCAAATCCACGCAGATTGTTGCACAAACACTGCCTGACGTGGCTGCCCTCTGCAGCCCTCACCTTAATGTGTTTTTTTTTTTCACTTCCAAGAGGCACCTGCCAACGTTTGTCTTATTAAAAAAGTCTGTGTTGTCTTCATTTAGAAAGGGTGTAGCAGTTTTTATCCCAAGTTGCCAAACTCATCCCGGAGTGTGGGAACTGGAGACCCACTGCAGTGTCAAGCACTGCAAAGAGTAATTAGCCCTCCTCATTATGCAAAATGATTGGGTTTGATGATGCTCAAAGTCACCCGTTTTGGAATTGTTTGAAGACATTCAGCCCAATTTGGTCACCAGTGCAAGATTTGAGGAGGCAAAGGAGCCCTTTGATGTCTCCAGCCAGTGCTGGAAAGGGGGGTGAGCTGGCTGGGGGATGAAGGGTGGGGGAGACAACCTGTGGAGATGGAATTAGAGCCCTCCTGGTGCTCAGGAGCTGCTGCTCCCAGGCTGACTCAGGGGACATCCCTGCCCATGTCAGAGGGTGGAACAGGATGGTCTTTAAGGTCCCTTCCAACCCAAACCATCCTGAGGTTCTGTGGTTCTCTGACTTGTTGGAGTCCGTCCTGCAGGACACCAGAATCCACGAGCCTGGAGCCAAAGCTGCTGCCTGGTGTTTCCTTTCTGTCCTGAGCTGGGGCTGCCCCTTCACCCAGTGCTGCCCCAATCCTTGGAGGGGGCTCTGTCCCAAGAAAACGGGGAGTTCAGGGAGATGGAGAGGAAATCCTGCCGGGGAGCCCTGGGATAGCCTACCTGCAGTCCCAGACCCTGCCCAGGGCCACACTGGGCACTGTCCAGGACTCAGTTGGTTTGGGAGAGGCATTCAAACACTCAGAGGACAATTAAAGTTGGAAAAGCCCTCCAAGATCGGTCAGTCCAACCTTCACCCAACACCCCAGTGCCCACCAAGCCACACTGCCAAGTGCAGAATCTCATTTTTTGAGCAATTCCAGGGATTGGGACTCCACCACTGCTCTGGACAGCGTGTGCCAATACCTGAAAACCCTTTTAATGAAGAAATGTTTCCTCATATCGAGCTTGCACTTCCCTTGACACAACTTGGGGCCATTTCCCCATGTCCCACTTGATGGGATTCCTGGCTGGGGGCACAAATGTTCCCACAAGTGGTGGATCCCTGTGAGAATCCAGGTGCTGTGGATTCACAGATGCAGCCCCAGCGTGGCTGGCAGGACCCTGCTGTCACACGTGGGCATCCCAAAATGCAGCTGTGTGATGGTTTGGCACCCAGCCCTGGCGTGGGTGTGTCCTGCTGTGTTTGCCCCCAGGGCTGTGGCAGATGCCACTGTGCAGGCTTGCAGGAAATCTGCCAAATTCACTCACTTGACATTTTTTTTTCTTTGCTTTTTTACTTCTATTTTTTTATTATTATTATTTTTAATGTGACTTCTTAGCAGCAATTTTTGTAAATCCTTTGGGTGTCTCACAGCCTACCCATGTTTCAAGAGACTTTCTTTGTTGATCAGACTTTGGTTTCAGCTTCAGTTTGACTCGTGGGAAGGAGAACCAGATGAGAACTCAAAATCAAACCAGTGTGTTACTTTGAATTAGGGTTTCTAAACTCAAAACAAAATCAGCAGGAAAAACAAAACCCCAAACACCACAAACTTCTGCTTGGACTTGGGCTTGAAACCACCTGAGATGCACTTGGCCAGCTGGAGAGGCCAAGAAGTGTTTGAGGTAAATGCACAGGTTATGGAGAGGTGATGCCAAGGAGCAAGAACAGCTTTGATAAGGGAGGGTGGGGAGGTGTGAATGGCTTTTTCTTGTGGTCTGGGTTTAAAGGAGAGCACAGCACAAGCACACACCTTCCTCAGCCAGGCTGACATCAATTTCCCAGGCTATCAACCACCTTGTAGGCTTGGCCTTTACATTCCATTTGAAGTCCTCCAGGAGCAGGGATGAGCTTCTCCGAAAGACTTGGACAAATGATTTTAAAACAACTGTGTTGTTAATGCCCTCCAAGGGCCTGGGAGGATTCATCCAAGCCCTTGAGCTCTAAAGCTGTAAACGTTTCCTGACCTATTTCTCTCCTTGCCTGCCTGGGAGAGGTCCAAGGGAGTGCTGAGGCCTGATCAGACAAAGCAGCACCAGTGCTGCAAAGCCACCTGCACCAGTGTGTGACTGCTCCAGCCCTCAGCTACAAAACTGCAGACAAGGGGCAGAACAAAAGTTTGGAAATAGTCTCATTATCACTTTGAAATATGCTCTTGGGGCCCCCAGCCTTGGAAATTTGGCTGTGGCCCCTGGAGAAGCAGGATCTGGGCAGTGGGGTGGGAGCAGAACTTCTCATGAGTTCCAGTGTTCAGGTGGGCTTTACCTCCTGGTGAAGGGAGATGGGAGTCGGGGAAGGGCAGATGGACTGTGCTGAGGCTGGATAAGGCACAGCAGGAGGGGGTGGAAGAGGAGGAAAGCGCTAAGAAAAAGGCACAGGAGAGAGAAGTTCCCATCTCCCTTGACCTCAAGGCTTAGAGAAGCAACGTGAGTTTTGTAGCTACTGCCTTCTTTAGAGCCTTTCCTGAGAGGTGCTGAATAGCCCAGGGATATCCATACTCACTTCCCTGAGTCTGTGTCTCCCTGCCAGGAGGAAAGACCTGTTTGTTCAGACCTTGGTGCTCTCTCCACCCCGCTCTCCTGCCCTTCCTCCTTCCAGAAGCACAACGCCTGATTCAGGACCGATGTTTCTGATGATGGGTTTGTGTTTTCTGGGCAGGATCTGAGCGAGTTGAACTCGACCACAGTGAAGAGCCCCACCAACACCGTGGCAGTGCAGAACCTCAAGGCCGGCACCATCTACGTGTTCCAGGTGCGGGCACGCACCGTGGCCGGCTACGGCCGCTACAGTGGGAAGATGTATTTCCAAACCATGACCGAAGGTGAGTCTGCAGCTGCCTCTCTAAAGGTGACTCAGGGTCTAGAGACATGTGGAGATAGACATGCAGCTGGTCCCCTTGCTGTCAGTCCCTTCAAGGGTGTGTTGACAAATCACATTCAACACCTGGAGAGGCCTGGATGTTTGTTCCACGCAGGGAAGGCCCCAGTTTCTGCCCAGCTTTTCTGTTGTGGAGATGTGTCTGCTCAGCTGGATGTAGAGGAAGCAAAATTTATGTTTTCTACCTGCACAGCTGCTGATGACAAATGCAGAGCCATGTCTTAATTTTCTAAATTTGTGCTGCTAAATAAAACAGGCCAAGCCAGTTTTCTGGCCCTGGGGCCAAGGACAAGGCACAGCATGCATCCACAGGACTGAACCTTTCCTCCCAAAAGGAACAGCTCCATCCAACCTTCCTTCTGGGATGCATCCCCCAACCAGAGGGGAGTCCTGACTGTCCCAGACCAAAGCCATGCCAGGAACCAAACACAGCCCCTGTTCAGGGCCATCCTCTGACTACAGTGACCTCATGAGGGATGGCTCATCAGTAACCTGTTCCCTTTCCCCCGTGTGCCAGCCGAGTACCAGACCAGCGTGCAGGAGAAGCTGCCGCTCATCATCGGCTCCTCGGCGGCTGGGCTGGTGTTCCTCATCGCCGTGGTGGTCATCGGCATCGTGTGTAACAGGTAGGGCAGGCTGAGACAGCCCCGGGGCTGGGGAGGGCACGGGGAGGGTGCAGAGGTGCCCCCAGAGCGCAGCCCCAGCCCCGAGGGGCCCATGCTGTGCTCAGGTCTCCCTTCCCTTCCAGAAGACGGGGCTTTGAGAGGGCTGACTCGGAGTACACGGACAAGCTGCAGCACTACACCAGCGGCCACAGTACGTACCGGGGGCCCCCCCCGGCCCTGGGGGGCCGCTCGCTGCTCGGTTCGTGCTCCTGTTCACTCAAGGATTGTGGGGAGGGCTCGGGGCAGGGTGTGCATGTGTGTGTGGGCAGGGCAGCTCTGTGTCCCCGGATCCCTGCCCTGCTCTCAGCCCTGCACGCTGGCAGGTGCCTGAGCATGTCCTCCAGGCCTCTGCGGCAACCAGCACCCCCTGAAGCATTGTTGTCTTCTGCGCTGCAGCCTCTGCCATCACACTGCGTCTTGCTCCTCCAGCTCCTGAGCTTTGCCCATCTCCTGGGCAGCAGTGAAACCCCTTCCCTGACCTGTCCTGTCCTGCAGAGTGCTGTCCCCCTGCAGGACCCCACAGACCTTTGCTAGAGCCCATCCCAGTGCTCCCAGATTCCAAGATATGAGATGTATCTATATATAGGTATATAACTCAATACCTAACATGCCCTCTCTTGTAGCCTCCCTCTTCCAACATCCCTGTGCAAGGCACTCCCTGCCATCCAGCATTCCTGCTCAGCCTCACTGCACACCCTGCCTCACCCCAGTGCATCCTTCTCCCCCCATCCCTGGAAGTGTCCCAAGGCCAGCCTGGATGAGGCTTGGAGCAACCTGGGATAGTGGCAGGTGTCCCTGCCCGTGGCAGGGGGTGGAATGAGATGAGGTCATTTAAGATTCATTTCAACCCAAACCATTCCATGTGATTAACCCCTTCCTTCATGTTCCTGAAATTCCTTTCTCCCTCTTCACAAGAGACCTGTTGCTCTAACCTTGCTTTATTCCAATCTCAGTTGTGATTTTCCTCATGTTCCACTTGCAGCTTCAGGATTTCTGCCCTTTTAATACCTTGTTCCTGTACAAATCCAGGCCTTGCTCAGAGCATGGAAAACACCAGCAGTGTTTCCACTCAGGACTCACTGTTGCTCTTGCTTTTACCTGCAAAACATGTCCCAAAAGGCAGAGCTGCAGCCCTGTGCCCCAGCAGCCTGAGCTGGCTGCCTCCCTATCCCTTACCAGGAAAAATGACACTTTTCAGGAGACATTATGTAAATGCAGCTCTCAGTTGTGTGTCAGTCTGGGCTGCAAACACACATTCACACGTTCTCCCAGGGCCTGGTGTGGGCCATGACAGCTCCAGGCTGGGATGGGTTTAGTCACTGTGCCTGCACCACTCAGAACAGGGAGCAGCAGAGCTGGTACAGCCTGGGTGCCTTTTAGCCCTTCCTCACCCAGCTCACCTGGCCAGTGCTGAGTCCCCAGCAGTGATTGCTGTGCAGACAGATTGCCAAGGCCCAGGGAGCCTGGGAGCACTGCAGATCCCCCTGAATACAAGCAGCACCCTGGAGCTGGCAGTCACAGTCTGCTGCTGTGTGGGGCTCCTTATTTAGGGAGCTGTGAGCTCTGCTCTCCAAATAGCCCATTCTGGAATGAGCCAGGGGCCAGAAAATGAGGATGGAAAGGGGAGAGGCACAGGTGAGAGCTGTCCCACAGTGCTGGGATGTGGCAGAGGCAGTCCAGCCTCACCAGGTCCATCGGCCACTGCCTTTCCCGTGACGTGTCACTGTGTCCCCTGCAAGAGGAACCTGTCTTGTGACTTTCCTAGTGTGTCCCACTACTTCTCCTGGGGCTCCCAAGAGGGAGCCCAGCCTTGGGCAGGGCTGCCAGTCAGGAGAACAGGGCAGGCTGGATTGTCCCTCCTGCTTGCACAGCTCCTGGAAGGGTCACAGATCCCCCCACGGAGGAGTCTGTCTGCAGTTTGTAGTCCAGGCTCACGATGTAGCTCCCCAACAATGACTTGTGGGCCAGTGTTCATTAAAATCAGCTTTAACAATCCTGTGAAACATGGCTCTGCATGTTCTTTCTCAGACTGTTTCTCTCTGTCTGCTTCGTGCCTTGATTATGCAACTTGCTGAGGTAAAAAGCCCGACACTCAAACATTTTTCTCTTTTCCTTGATGCCAACCATTGCAGTTGCATCCATCTGTCTGACTCTCTCCCTCACCTTTATGCAGTGACTCCAGGGATGAAGATTTATATCGATCCTTTCACCTACGAAGATCCCAATGAGGCTGTCAGGGAATTTGCAAAAGAAATCGATATCTCTTGTGTCAAAATCGAGCAGGTGATTGGGGCAGGTAGGTTACCTGGGAATGGCTCAGCAGCACAGCCTCCTTCATGGTGCCAAAATTTGGGAGGATTCAGCCTGATGCCACTAGGGCTGATGCCACTGAGAACTTAATTAGCCTCAGGCTGGACTAGAAGGAGCAGGGGAGTCCAGCAGGGGAGAAGCAAGAGCATCAGTTCCCATGTGCATGTAATTCCAGATGCAGTGCTCCTCATGGATGAGAGCAGCTGGAGGGGTGGAGAGGGAGGGAACACAGATCAGGGGGTGGGTTCTCAGCTCAGGGATGAGCAGGGGAGGCACAGCTGGGGCCAGGGGTCCCTCAGGGGCACAGCAGAGGTGGGGGAGGCTCACAGGCCCTACCTTGTGTTCACAGGGGAGTTTGGTGAGGTGTGCAGTGGGCATCTCAAGCTTCCAGGCAAAAGAGAGATCTTTGTGGCCATCAAGACCCTCAAATCTGGCTACACAGAGAAGCAGAGGCGGGACTTCCTGAGTGAGGCCAGCATCATGGGGCAGTTTGACCACCCCAATGTCATCCACCTGGAGGGGGTGGTCACCAAAAGCTCTCCAGTCATGATCATCACTGAGTTCATGGAGAACGGCTCACTGGACTCCTTCCTGCGGGTATGAGATCGGGGAGGGTGCGGCTCTAGGGGCTGTGCTAGCACAGAGGGGATCTGGGGGGAAGGTTCTGCTGTCTCCTGTCACTGGGGCAGCTGCAGCATAGTGCAGAGCTCTGTTTTGGGATCACTGCACAGTGCAGAGCTCTGTTTTGGGATCACTGCACAGTGCAGAGCTCTGTTTTGGGATCACTGCACAGTGCAGAGCTCTGTTTTGGGAACACTGCACAGTGCAGAGGTGTGTTTTGGGAACACTGCACAGTGCAGAGGTGTGTTTTGGGAACACTGCACAGTGCACAGGTGTGTTTTGGGATCACTGCACAGTGCAGAGCTCTGTTTTGGGAACACTGCACAGTGCACAGGTGTGTTTTGGGAACACTGCACAGTGCAGAGCTCTGTTTTGGGATCACTGCACAGTGCAGAGCTCTGTTTTGGGAACACTGCACAGTGCAGAGGTGTGTTTTGGGAACACTGCACAGTGCAGAGGTGTGTTTTGGGAACACTGCACAGTGCAGAGGTGTGTTTTGGGAACACTGCACAGTGCAGAGGTGTGTTTTGGGAACACTGCACAGTGCAGAGGTGTGTTTTGGGATCACTGCACAGTGCAGAGGTGTGTTTTGGGATCACTGCATAGTGCAGAGGTGTGTTTTGGGAACACTGCACAGTGCAGAGGTGTGTTTTGGGATCACTGCATAGTGCAGAGCTCTGTTTGGGGAACAGAGCTGGGGGTGACAGCACCAGGGCTGTCATTTCTTATGTGTCTGTCCACTCATCCTAGAGAGAGGCTGTGCCTGCCTGCCCACAGGTGCACATCCAGACTGAACCCATGGGCACCCATGGAGGGACAGCCTAACCCAGCTTTAACCCAGCAGGACTCCACCTCCAGCTGCTCTGTCTAAATGTTTCTAGTTCTGGGTTTGAAGTGGGTAATTGACTGTGATGAAGGGAAGTAAGCTGGTCAACAGGAAGAGATTGTCCCTTCTGAGCTCTCCTGTGCAGGGTGGGTGTGTTTTGGGGTGACAGCAGCTGCTGTAGTGGTGCCCTTGGGATGTGTGAGGCGATTAGAGATGTGCTTTGGGAGGGAATGTACTCATGGCATATCCTGCCATGGGTGTGGAAAGAGGCTCCTGGCTTCTGCCTGGCCAGGAGGGGCTGCAAATCCGCTCCTGTCACCTCTGTCCCTGTGTCCCTCAGCAAAACGACGGGCAGTTCACGGTGATCCAGCTGGTGGGGATGCTGCGGGGCATCGCCGCGGGCATGAAGTACCTGGCGGACATGAACTACGTGCACCGGGACCTGGCCGCCCGCAACATCCTGGTCAACAGCAACCTGGTGTGCAAGGTGTCCGACTTCGGCCTCTCCCGCTTCCTGGAGGACGACACCTCCGACCCCACCTACACCAGTGCTCTGGTAATGCTGCTCTTCCAGCCAGGGTGAAGGAAGGGAGTGGGAAAAGGAAAGGGGGGATGTCCCCCCGTGGCAGCACAGAGCGGTTTTTCAGGGTGTCAGCAGTGGAAAGGATGTGAAAGACCAGTGGAATGAAGTGAAGGTTTTCCCTTGCAAGGTCCTGTCACTCCTGTGGATAGTTGAGACTTCCTCCAAACACGTTTGCAAACACACACATGTCCCTGAAAAGCCCTTGGTTGGGATCACGCTCTGCACCCTCCTGTTGCCGCTGAAGATGAATAGATCACACGCACACAGGTCGAGGTGTGGTGAAAAGAAAGAGCAGAGTTTATTTTTCCTCCCAGGATTTAGAGGCTTCTGACCACAGCCAGGGATTGGATGGTCAGGATAACACTTTCTCACTGCACTGGCCATGAGAGATGCCCATCACAAGACATGTAACAGAAAGAATGTACACATCTCTATGTTTACAGTTACTGTCCTGGGAAAGTCTTTAGAAAACCATGTCAGCACGCTCAGAAGCTGAGTTTTCAGGGCGACACCCACCCTCGTGTGATTCACCTTTAAGATGAGATGCTGCCCTGACAGATTTGTTGCCAGGGCAGAAAGTCTGGGTTTTTTACCATCACTGTCCAGTCCTGCTGCCCTGCTGTCCTTCCTCATGTCATCTCCCTTGCTCAGCCCCAGGAAGGACAGACTGAAGCGTAGGAAGTGTGGGTGGGTGCCAGATACTAGATACTGATCTTCCAGAGAGTATCCAAATTAAACAGAAAAGCACTCCTAAAAATGACTTCACGTTCTTGTAGCAACTTCCCAGGAACACAAGAGCCACCACGAACTCCTGGCTGGTGTCAGGCTGCAGAAGGTGCCCCAGGACCAGAGGATTATTTGATTTTTCTCAGTGAGAGCTCAGCAAGGAGATCTCATAAATACCACACAGAAACGCTCTGTACAGTGCATCAGGATCAATGCCCACAGCTGGAATTCTTGGAAATCAGTGTTGATAGAGCTGGAGCATGACCTGTGGGAAATCACCTCTCCTGGGTCTTTTGAAGCTGGCAGTGATGAGATGCCTGCCATAGCTCTTAGTAAATTTTATCAGTAGTTGAATACCTAAGAAACACCTAAAAATGTGTGGGTTTATTCTCATCCTTCAACTCGTCCATCTTACACAGCCATCAGTGGTTTTTACAAACACTAATAACATTTATTTTTCACAACATGTTCCTTACAGCCAATTAACTTTCCCTTCGTTAACTAAATACATGATGTTTACTGCTGTTCTCCATCCCTGCTTTTGTGCCTGTAGCTTTTCTCTCCAATAATAAATTTGTCACCCCTAATTTATTCTTGAACTGTGGGCACTGTAGCAGGACATTTATTATCCATAACGACAGATTATGTGCACCTACTGTATCAGAAGTATCTTCCTCTGCAAAATGGTTTTTATCATCGTTCTCCCAGTGACCTTGTGCCCAGGCTGTGGCCTGGGAAGTTCATGCTGGACCTCAGGAAGGTCTTCAGAGTGGTGAAGCTCCAGGTCAGACCCCACAGAGATGGGAGGTCTCACTGAAGTGAGTTTCCACAAGAATCCTCCAAAAGTCTTAATTTCTACTTTAGGACTTCTTTTTAGCCATTTTTAAAATCAGTTTGGCAGGAGTTCTGTCAAGAGTCTTCCTGATGGAGAGGACATCCTGTTTGGTATGGGTTGCTTCCTCTTCCCCTCTTGTGGAAACCATTATATTTTGTCTGAGGTTTGTGGCTGTGAGAAGATTAAGGAACATTTATCTTTTTTCATTATCTGGCATGGACTGGGGCTGAGTACTGTGAAGTCCTGGGAGACCCTTAATAAGACATGGCAGTTGTTCATTGACAAAATAGAATGGTTTTTAATCTTCTCACAGCCACAAAACACAGACACAGCACAGGGGAAGATTTTCCTTTCAGAAGGTCCCTTGAGTGAATGGCTCAAGTCCAGAGCCCTTGGTAGAAAATCAGGAGGCAGGAAGGGTTTAAGCAGAGCTTTCAATCCCTGTGTCCCCATTTGTGTGTGCCACTCCTGTGCTTAACTCCTCATTGGGAGTGCAGAGTCCTGATTTCTCCACAGCTGGGTGACAGAAACCCCAGTGCCCACCAATTCCATCCCATTTCCCACCAGTGACCCCCCATCCCACCCTGAAGGATCAGAACCTTCTGGACCAGCTGCATATCCACAGACAGCACCCAGCCTAGAAACGGTGTATTGCTGACTTCAAAAGAGTGTAAAAGGCTGTAAGGAAGGTGTTCTAATTCCCTTTATTCTGCTCTGGAGGCAGCCAGGTGACAGCAGAAGGATGGACTGAGATCAGTTTGGGTTTTTGACATTCCTGGCCATTCAGTTTCTACCAAAGACCCTCTTAGCTCCACGGGCAGTTTGCCATGCTGAGGATCAGTGGAGCAGGAGGCAGGGGGCAGGAGCTGCCCTTGGTGGAGGTGATGAAGAAGGGACTGAGGGGACACCTCTAAGTGACCTTCAGGGCAGTAACAAAGAGATCAGAGCCAAACTCTTTGCAGTGGCACCAGGTGATGCAATAAGAGGTCATAGACGAAAACATGGCTGGGGAGGTTCAAGGTGAACAACAGGAAAAGCTCCTTCCTCAGGAGGTGGGTGGGACACCAAATGGGGAGAATCATCATCACTGAAGGCTTCCAGCGTGGCTGGACAATCCACATCCACCCTGAGGGACAGACAGTCCTGTGCTCCCTTCCTTCTGGCATTTTACCAGAATGCCACAGGCAGATATTGTGGACACTGCTATTTTCCAGTTGCTCCTGCTGTCTCTGTTCCCATCCCCTGTTTTTATCCCACAGGGGGGGAAGATCCCGATCCGATGGACGGCACCTGAGGCCATTCAGTACCGAAAGTTCACCTCGGCCAGCGACGTGTGGAGCTATGGAATAGTCATGTGGGAGGTGATGTCCTACGGAGAGCGGCCCTACTGGGACATGACCAACCAGGATGTGAGTTCTTGGGAAACCAGGGGCAGAAACCATGGAATGGGGAGCACTGCAAGGCCACAGCCTGTCCCAGCCTGTGGCATGTCCAGAGCTTTCTCTGTTGTGGCAGATGTGTCCGAGGTCAACACCTTTGGAAGCAATAATGGGAATAATTTGGGGATTTATTCTGGTGCTGCTGTGGCAGAGATTGGGAATTGCACAGCACCCACTGCACAGGGTTCAGGGGAGCACCCCAGGGGTGTTGGCAGATGCTAAGAAAGGGAAGGAGCAGGTGGGTGGAAAAGGAGATGTCCCTGAGCTGAGTGCCTCTGGAGCAGAGCTTCATCTGCTGGGATCACAGACACTCCAGGAAAGTCTGATACAAAGCCACACAACGGCTTGGGTTGGAAGAGACCTTTAAAGATCATCCATCCCCACCATCCTGTGGGCTCCCCTAAGGCCTTGCCTTACAGGGAGAGAGTGAGAGCCAAGTTCCCTCTTCCTGTCAGAGGCAGATCAGACCTTTTCCATCTCAGCAGATCTCCATCCATGCCACATCAGGTTTCTCCAGGGTGGGACTATTTCCTCCCTAATGCCTGGTGGGAAATTTATTAACATGAACTCCTAAGCCTGGAGCAGGTGGATGACACCTTAGAACCTTTGGCTGTTCACAGCCTTGCCCCAGCCTCTGCCACATCAGGAAAATGTTTCCATGTTGGAGGCAGAGGGATGGGACTTAGGGGGACAATTCCCTTCCTGCTAAGCCATCATTACCACCTCATTTTCAAGCACGTCCTGCACCAGGTGTTCCTGTACCTTCCCCATCCTTTGTCCTTCTCCTGGAGCTCTTCCCAGAGCCGTGCCTGTCCCCAGCCCCTGCTCCCCCTCGGTGCCCCAGAAGCTGTCAGCACTTAAGCACAGCTGGTCCTGCTGTGGAGGAGCGTGGCTGGTATTGAGGGCAGATTACCCTCCTGACCCTGGGGTGTGAGTGCCTGGGGCGGCTGCTGGCAGAGGACACCGAGAGAGCTGGAGCCGCATCTGGGATGTCTCGCTGGCAGCAGGGATGAGTGCTCGGTGTTTGTGTGGTGCTGGTCCCCACCCTGAGCCTCCCCTGCCCTGTTCTGGGCGCTCCTGACACTCAGGGAGCTGGGATGGGGCTCAGCAGCCCTTGGGAGGAGCCCTGAGCTGCACAAAGCACATCGGTAGCCATGGAATCCTTGAGGCTGGAAAAGGCTCTGAGATTGTTGAGTCCAACCATCAACGCAGCACTGCCATGTTCACCCCAAACACGTCCCCAAGTGCCACATTCACACAGTTTTTGAAGCCCTTCAGGGATGGTGACTCCACCACTTCCCTCCACAGCCTGTTTCAATGCTTCTCAAACCTTTCCATGAATAATTTTTTTCCTCCCATCCAATCTAAACTTTCCCTGGTGCAACTTGAGGCCGTTTACTCTAGTCCTGCCACCTGTTACCTGGGAGAAGAGACCAACCCTCCCCAGCTCCACCCTCCTGTCAGTGATTTGTAGAGGAGTTACCTCTGCTCAGACCTTCACAGGCCTCTTGGGGCCACCACCGTGTCCAGCCAGGGCAGCAGAGCAGGGGGAGGACTCTTCCCTCTGGCAAATTTTGGCAGCAGCAGTGCCAGCCCCATGTCTCACACACAACAGTGCCTGTAGCACCTCCCAGTCCATTCCCTGCCTGGAGCCACAGACCATCTCAAACCCTGCCAGGGGCCCCACCTCACACTCTGGATTGTTTGGCATGGATCAGCCACCAGCCTTTTCCTGCTTCTCTCCCATTCCCATTCCCAGTGTCCTTAATTTTCTCTGTGTAGTCTCCCTACTCAACACTATGTCTACCACCATGAGAATGTCTAGAGTTCCCCAGGATGGGGGCACAGCCCTTGGGAACCCCACCAGGAAGATCTCTGTCCTTGGAATTGTACAAAACACGGCTGGACAAAGCCATGGCAGCCTTGATCCCATGGTGAGAGTGGCCAGAGACATTGAGGTTCTTCTTTGGGATCCCTGAGGGAGGTTCTGTCACTCTTCCTTCCCTTTTCCATCATTCCCATGGAGAGGTGGTTTCTGCAGTATCCTCAGTTCTGGTTCTTGTCCTTACTTCTGGGTTTTGTTGCCATGCACGAGCCCATCTCTGGTGTTCAAGGCTCCTTCTGCTCGTCCTTCAGTGCCTGTGCTGTGCATGGCCAAGGAAGCAGGAGAATCCTCTGTCAGAGGAACAGATGTTCCTGGAAGAAGTGGAGCAGCCTTCTCCTCGTTTGTCACCCAGGAGAGGATGGAGGGCTGCAGGTGCAGGGAGGTGGAGTTCCCCTGGAAGAAGATTCTCCAGCCCTTGTTCCAGTGGAATTTGCCAGAGCAGGCATTTTCCTGCATTGTGTGGAGCAGTAAGGAGAGACCAAAGCCTTTCTGGATGAGCCTGGAGCTGCAGCGTGGCTTTGGCAAGGTGTGCTGCAGCTCTTCAGTGCACACTGCAACCAAGTTCTCCTGGGCCTGGCTCTGCTGACTGGGGTCTGAGTCCTCCCCGTGGTGTTTTGCACTTGCACAGGCCTGCAGGGAGATCCAGCTGTTCCTGCTGACTGAGCACACCCAGGCCATGGCACGACCCTGTCACCTGGACAAGCTGGTTTGTGTCAGGAGCACAAAACACCACTGGAGGATGGAAAACACAGGGACAGGCTCCCTGTCTGTAACTCACCCCCCTTCTCTGGATGGGGATGTTGTGCTGTGTCCAAGGGAAGCACAATCCCTTCTCTCTGTTCACACACTCTGTTCTCTCTGATCACACATCCTGTCAGGGCAGCAGGGATGCTCCTTTCCCCAGATCAGGAGACTGCTCATGGCAATCAGCCAGCCAGGCTGGATGGCTGAGCAAAGCTGGTGTCACCTCCCAGGACACCTCACCTGACCTGCTGAGGGCTGGGAGTTACAGTGTGAGGTGGGGATGACATGGGAAGGCAGCAGTGAGTGCAGGCTGCAGGATCAGCCGTGTCAGTCACCCTCAGGATCCAAGAAAAGGCACATTATGAATTAAATAGGTTTTATCACAGCTGAATTGATGCCTCTATCCTGCAGGTGATAAATGCCATTGAGCAGGACTATCGACTGCCACCACCCATGGACTGCCCAAATGCCCTTCACCAGCTGATGCTTGACTGTTGGCAGAAGGATCGAAACCACAGGCCCAAATTTGGGCAAATTGTCAACACCTTGGATAAAATGATCCGAAATCCGAACAGCCTGAAAGCCATGGCACCTCTCTCCTCTGGGTATGTCTCTGTCCTCCTCTTGTCCTTTGGCTCCTCTGAACAGGTCTGGTGTCCTCTGGGTCCTGCTGGCACCGTCCCTGCACCTCTCAGGAGCTACTTCAGAGCTTGGCCTGTGTTGGATTATAGGGAGAGCATTAAAATATCATAGAATCACAATTCAGGGTGGAAGAGACCTTAAAGCTCATCTCATTCCACCCCCTGCCATGGGCAGGGACACTTTCCACTATCCCAGGTTGCTCCAAGCCCCATCCAAGCTGGCCTTGGGCACTTGCAGGGATCCAGGGGCAGACACAGAGCAGGGATACAGATGTCAGGGTCCCTCTCCTTGGGCAGCACAGGCTGCTCTTGGACAGTGCACTCTGCACCTTGGTTTGTGCACATGGGGGTGCTGGGGCAGTGGGATTGCTCTGCTGTTCCAGTCCCACTGCACTGGAAGCAGATAAACAAACCCCCATGAAGCAGTGTGGAGTTTCCCTGGGCTGGCTGGGAGCACCTGCACTGCTCCTGTACGAGAATGAGCTTTGTCCCCGTGCACAGCCAGGATTTAAAGCTGCATCCCATCATCTCTGATGGCTCCTGCCTCTCCTGCATGAACTGATCCAGAAAGGCTTCCCTGATGCTCTTCACAGTCCTTCCCTTGTCAGAACAGTGATTTCTGGGTGGAATTCCACAATCCAGGGCAGTGCCTGCACTGTGAATGATGCTGATCCAGTGCCTCCAGCTGCTGGAGGGTGCAGGAGCGGCCATGCTCGCAGCTCTCAGTCTGTCATTGCCCATTTCTGTGTTTCAGGATGAACCTCCCCCTCCTTGACCGCACAATCCCGGATTACACCAGCTTCAACACTGTGGATGAGTGGCTGGATGCCATCAAGATGAGCCAGTACAAGGAGAGCTTTGCCAGTGCTGGTTTCACCACCTTTGATGTAGTATCTCAGATGACTGTAGAGTAAGTGCCCAGGCTTTGAGTCCCAAAGCACAAGGGAAAGTCCCAGCAGTTTTGCAACAATTGGTATTGAATTAGACTTTATTTTCATATGATGTAGTTTTACTTTTATAGAATTGTTGCTTTGTGGAGCCGCTTTTAATCTATTCAGTCTCCAGACCATGTGTCTGTCACTCCACACCTGCAGAATTCCTCTCCTTGCTTCCACTCTGTGAAAGTGAACACCCCCACCAAGGGTGTCCAAACCCCAGCATGGAACAAGCTGAGATTTCAAGCTGGCATCAGACAATTCTCCAGAGCACTTCTGAACACTGCAGTCCTCTTGGATGTCTGAGGTATCGATGGAGACATCGTGGTGCAAAGTTCTGCCTAAGAAAGGCAGAATCACAGAGTGGTTACAGTTGAAAGGGACCACTGGAGGTCATCCAGTCCAACCTTCCTGCTCAAGCAGGGTCTCCTAGAGCTCCTCACTCAGGGGAAAGAGATTCCACACCCTCCCAGCGAGGCCTGTTCCACCCACACAGTAAAGAGGTTCTTCCTCATGTTCAGGTGGATCTTTCTGGGCATCAGTTTCTTCCCACTGCCTCTCATCCTATTGCTCTGCCACATCGAGCAGAGCCTGGCTCCAGCCTCTGCCACACACACCTCGATAAGATCCCCTTCTGGGGGGTGGTTTCAAGTTTGTGCTGCATCCACTAAAAATGTCCTGGATCTTCAAAAATCATTCTGCAGTGATGAATTCTTAGCAAGTTCTTCAGGGAAATCAGGCAGCTGAAATCCCACTTTTGGTGGGTTTTGAAATCCCTTGGGGCTGGCTGGGACCTTGATGCCTCTGCTGAAAGATTTGTATCTGTAGGAACCTCAGAAAGGGCCAAGCATTAGAGCTGTCTGTAAGGGCTGCTGGTGGCCAGGGAGGTTTTTGGATTTGGTGCTTAAAACCAGATCTGAAATCTACCAGTGAGTCAGAATCCATTCACTGAAGCAGCCACTCAAACAGCCTGCTCTGGCTTTTTGTTCTTATTTGCTGCTGGGAAGTTCCCATGGCAGTTCTGACTGTTTTGGGACATCTGTGGTGCAATCCCAAGGCTCTGGGGATGATTTTGGCACAGTATTGGCTGTGTTTATATAACACAAAAAGAGAAAGTCCACAAAATCTGAAGGGTAGGGAAGAACTCTGACCAAAGAGAGGTATCAGACCACAACCCAGCCCTGCCTGGGATCTGCTGTTTGCAATATCTGACAGCAAGCAGGATGCAGACAGTCCAGCTAATGCTGGCTGTTCTTGCACAGACATCCTCAGTGTCCCTTAAATGCCACTTCTCCCAGTCCCTTCCTGTCCTCTCCAAGAGCCTTCATCAAAATTCCAAGGGCATCCTCAGCTCATGTCCCAGCAGTTTTGGCAAACTTCCATTCCACATTCCTCACCTGCTTGGCTGGATGTACAATAGACAGGATAGTCCCTTTTTCCTTGGAAAATTGTGGTGTAACAGGACTTGACACCACCCCCTGATGTTCACTGGCCTTTGCAGAAGTTGACAGGAATGTCAATGGAGCTGCTGGTTCATCCAGATTTGGAGAGCCAGCAAAGTGTGAATGTTTCCTGAAAAGTGATTCAGTTCACCAAATCCACACAGGCTCAACACTGACCTGCTGGAAAGGGTTCTCACTGCAGGCTGGGACACCTGGGACACCAAATTCTCTTCCAAGAATCACAGAACCATTTGAGTTGGAAGGGACTTTAAAGCTCATCTTAAAGGTTTTAAGACACCTTCCAGCAGCCACAGCTTCTCTGGGCCAAGGCCTCACCACCCTCTGAGCAAAGAATTCTTGCCCAATATCCAATCAAATATTTAATATCCAAGGCAGAAAGCTTGGAATCACAGGGTTGTGCAGAGCCACAGTCTTACTCTGGTTTACAGACACGAGTGAAGAATTTTTTCCACCCTTTGGAGCTCCTCTTTACCCTTCTTTGCCCAATAACTTCCATTCTGAACATGGCAAAGGTTTTGCCACTCTTCCTCTTAAACCTCTGTTCCTAGCACTCAAGGACAAAAGGCACCAGAAATCCCTTCAAGTCAGGTTTGGGTCACGTGGCCTCCCCTCCCCTGATGGGAAGAAGAAGATCTGAAGATTTCATGACTGAAGTTTACTCACCGTGGGGGAGATGAGAGCAAACTCAGCTGGAGACATGGATAGGACCAATTTAAAGCCACACTCATGCTCTTGGCATGACTTTTATTTCTCTCAGATGTCTGAAACTATAAAAAATAGAAGCTGTCCAAAAAACAAGATTGCCTTGATTTAACAAAAGGATGAGTGCAAAAATTGATCACTTTGTGGTCTTATCAGCTCAAAAGAAAAGCATCAAGAACAGCATCATCTGCATGTGGGGGTCAAATCTACACTGAGGAGGGGCAGGACAGTCCTGTGTCTCCAGGGGAAGAAAACAAGGGGTAGTGTGTCACAAAATGAAAGAAAATCCAAAATGCAAAACAGTACAAGGGTAAAAAAATTAAGACAAATTGACGAGCACAGAGCAGAGCCTGTGGCGTTTGGTTTCACACTCTCTGTCGAGGTTCAGGGCTCTGAGAGTGCTGCAGGTGGGTAGAAATGCAAAGATTGGACAATAAGCAAGAAAAAGTGAAAGAGCAGAGGTTTCACAGGGGGTGTGTAGTGTTGGGTGGTGGTGGTGGTCAGGTGATGCTGCATTCCCAAAAGCACCTCCAGAGAGGAAATGTCTGGGCAGGCCACACTCACATCCACACACACAGTCACACAATCACACTCACATCCACACTCACACTCACACTCACACACTCACACTCACACCACAGATTGCTGAGCCCCAGCCCATAGCCAGGGAAGGTCTCTGTGTGGAGTTCCAGTGGGGTTCATTGCAGCCACACACTGAAGGGCTCCAGGAACAAAGCCAGGGAGCGATGGAGGGGCCAGGGATGGGCTTGGGGGGTGGAGCCGAGGGTCAGGGTCCAATAGGAACAGGGGAAAGTGGTGCATAGGCGGGGCCAGGGAGAGGGAGAGCCAATGGGATCACAGGGGCGGGGCATTGCAGCAAACTGGGGCCAATGGGGAAGCAGGGAAGGGAGAACTTTCTAGAGAAAGGACATATAAGGACAAAAGGGGAGGGACAGCCCACAGACCACTGGGTACATAGACCTGGGGTACAGTAACGTGGGGGTGCAAAGAACTGTGGGAAAAGCTTTTTTATGTGGGGAAAACCTTCTTTTGATGCTTTAAGTTCACACCTTAGAGGCCTCCTTCCACACCATCACTGCCTTTGGCTCCAGAGCCTCCACAGGTTTGTTGCATTCATGGATGAAATGTATGGATACTTCAGCTCCCTACATACCATTCTCGTGGAATCATAGAATCACAGAATGGCTTGGGCTGAAAGGGACCTTAAAGATAATTTTAAATAATGATCTTGTTCTGTTGTGAGAAAATATCTCCTGATATTTGTGTTTGTTTCCTTTCCTCCCCAAGGGACATTCTGCGAGTTGGGGTCACTTTAGCAGGACACCAGAAGAAAATCCTCAACAGTATCCAGGTGATGAGAGCACAGATGAACCAAATCCAGTCTGTGGAGGTTTGATAGCTGCCTGTCCTCCCTCTCCTCCTCCTCGAGGCCCTGCTCCCCTTTGCCCCTGTATGTCCAAGCTCCAGTTCCTGAGTGTTCTGCATGGAGCAGAGACAGGCAGCTGCTCTGAGGAGTGGGAGGGAACACCCTGTCCTCAACAATGAGAAGTCGCCAAGAGCTTCTAGAATTTAAGCAATGGAAAAAGGGAACAAAACAAAACAAACAAACAAACAAAAAAAGGACAACTATTTTGAAAAAAAAAAATAAAAATGAACGAACTACAAAATATTTTTAAATAATAATAAAGCAATTGCATTCTTGAAAAGGGCTCCAAGACCAATGGGAGTCTCCAAAGGAAGAGAAAAGAGCAGCTTCACGTTTCCTCTTGCACAAGGCTGCTGCAGCTGGACCCAGGCACCTCTGGAGCAGTGGGACTTCTCCAGGAAGAGGAAAGCAAGGAAAAGGCCACGAGAAGCACATCTCTTCCTCCCGTGGGCGCTGGGAACAGCGTGAGCCAGGCCCTTCCCCAGAGCCCCTGTCAGCAGATCAGACGGGGAGAGCTGAAGCTCTTTGGTGCTGTGGAACCAAGTGCATCTCAGAAACTGATGGACTTCTTCAAAAGCTGAAGACTTTTTTTTTTTAAAAAAAACAAAACAAAACAAAAACACAACAAATAAACTAAGACTAGAGGAGGCTGTTTCCGACAAATGAGAAGGAATCTGTAACGCCTTGGGGGGTGGGGATGGGGAAAAGCAATCCTTTTTACATCTCTTATTTTCTCTTGTCATGGAACAGTTTTGTGAGTGACAGTTTCCTAAGGGTCCGTCCATCCGCCCTCCAATGGCATCGTGTCTCATACATATCATTGCTCAAGACTTTTAGTGATATCCTTTCTAGATGCCAATGATCTTTTCCCAGAAGACTTCCCAAGTACAGTATGTAGTAGTTTTTGATTACAAATGCTGACGTGTACCTTTATTTTTCGGTTGTCATTGTTGGGAGATTTGTCCTTTTGCATTGTTTTGTTAACACCAGTTTGTGAGTTTGGGGGTTGGAAATTTTCGGTTGGTTGGGGGTTTGGTTTTGTTTTTTTTTTTTTATAATGAAAAAGAAATGACATCTCCAAGCATCATATCATCCAAGAACTTAAATCCCTTCCCTGTGGAAGGAAAAATTGCAGCTTATTGACCATATGCCAGGAGAAAAAGGTTTTTTATATGCACATTTCCTCCCGTTTGCTTATTTGTTCTTTCCAATTGGTCGTGGCACGACAGATGTTTGTGGCTGTTGGGGTTCCACCAGGTGTTGGCCACCAGCTCAACTCGGGGGTGAGCAGCATCACAGGGGTTTGGGAGGGAAAGGTGGGAGGGCGGATGGTTTTTGTGAGGGAATGATGACTCCACAGCTGGCTTCAGAGCCCTTTGGAAATGTCTGGCTGCTGAGGAAGGTGTTGGATTGGTGCATGGGAAAGGCAGGGCAAGCCCAGTTCTCTGAGAGGAGCTCGTGGCGCAGCATTTTGGAGTGGGGGTTGTGTTTCCTGCAGGTGGGGATGGGTCCCTGCAGGTGCCAGTGCAGGTGGGACCCTGTCCCTTCATTGGGTGATGCAGCTTCAGGCTCAGCCCCTCACCTCAAAGAGAGCCTGGGACAGCAAAGATTCCAATCCCAGCTCTCCAGAGGCAAAATGCTGTGCTTGAAGCTGAATGATCAGTGAGTTTCTAAACAGCTGAAATAAATTCTTTAGTTACTGAGCAGGTCTTTGGGATGTGTGAACACCACCAGCCCAGCGCAGGGAGGTGCAGGTGAGAGCTGGGTTGTTCTCCCTGCCCAACACCACCTGGCATCCTTTGAAGCGTTCCACGTGTGGCGTTTTCCCACCCACCTCCTGGTGGTGGCCTCAGGACTGGTGTTCACAAACCCTTGTCTGCCTTTGCCATGTCATTCCTGGGCTCCTCCTCTGGTTTTTGGCAGCGAGGAGTGTTGAAGGCACGTTCACTGGGAGCTGCCTGGCTGAATTTTCCAGGGGCTGAATCCAAGAGGAAGTGTGTCTGCTGTGGATGAAAATCCCAAGCTGTCTAGACCTCTGTGGCCAGACATCATCTCCCCAGACTGCTTGTAAAATATGAGGCCATTTATTAAATACTTCTAGCATTTTCTACTGCCAGACCAGATCCAACAACAAAGCCCTTGTGAGTGGCATCAGAGCAGTCCCTACAAGTGAGACTTCTTCTCTCCTGAGCTCCTGCCCTGTCCCAGGGCTTGGTGCTCCAGCAGCAGGGCCTTTCAGTGGAGGAATTGTCCCTGCAGCCCCTGTTCATCCAAAATCTCCAGTGCAGTGTTGTGTTTGTGCTTGCATCCAGCCCAGCCCTGGGTTTGGAGCTCTGGGCATGCCTGTAGTGATGGGAACACGAGGTGTGTGCTGGGTGTCCCGGTCCTGTCCTGAGCTCCAGGCATCCCCTGTGACAGCCCCAGCACCTCCTGCGTGGCACAGGGGGGTGTGGAGCGAGGGGCAGTGGGCTGTGGGCACAGGGTGTGCAGGTGGGACGTGGATGGCTCAGCCCCTCTGCCCTAAACCCAGCCTGTGTGTCCAGAGGGATACTTGGAATGCCTTTGCATCCAAAAATCACTTGCTCCTGGTCAGGTGGTGGGCTCAGCTTTGAAAGGACATCAAAAATCGCTGGAGCTGACTCAACCACAGGAAGTGTTTGCAGAGGGAAGCCAGGAGCTGTGCCCAGTCCCAGTGTGGTGTGGGAGCCTCCCCTGGTGAGCCTGTCCCACACCGTGGCCAGGAGCAGCTGTCACTGTGTGCCAAAGGCACGTGGAGCTGCTTGGTGGCTTGGTCCTGAGGGCAGGACGGTGCTGTGCCAACTGCCCAGCCCCAGCCAGCACTGACCTTGTGCCCCAGAGCTCTGCCAGGAGAGCTCTGCCTACAAAACTCACCAGCAGATTCCTGTGGGGCAGCCATGTGGAAGGAGCACATGATGCTCCTCACTTGTCCTCCCCAGACAATTCCTGACTGTTCTCTGCCACCCTGCAGACACTAAGGAGGAGCAATGCCCAGGCAGCATCGCTTCAGAGCCACCCAGGCCTTGGAAGGGCACTTCAGGTCCTTTTCATTTGGAGATATTTCATCTCACTGCACTGAATCTCCTCGCTGGCTGCTTCAGACACATTTACCCGCCAGACCCAGCCCACTGTGAAGGACAGGTCCCAGTGCCACAGCCCCCAGAGCTGTGGCAGCCATCTGCAGGGCAGAGAAAGCACATCTCTCCTGCTGACCAAAAATCACATGGTGGTGGTACTGAAAGTAACACCTTCCCATCTGTTTATAGCAGACATGGCTGTGACATCTGTGTTTGGCTGTGCAGGACTAACAGAGAGCTGGACTAAAATAGACATGGTCCAGAAAACACTGCAGTTTTCTGCATCCCTCAGCTCTCCTGGGAGCACGAGGAACCGAGTTCCTGTCAAGTGCTTTGGTTGTAAACGCCTCTGGCACATGCTGCAGAGCTGGGGCAGAGGCACTGGACTGACAATAACATATTTATTTCATGGGTCTCCAATGTACTGCTACGAAATGGGAGTCTAATGGAAAACTCAGCGTGTTCCAAGGGGAAAAGGCACTTGCTAACATTGACACTGTGAAATGCTGTTGTGCATGTGCATGTGTGCATGTGTGGGTACTTAACAAAAATCATCACCTGAGAGGTTTTCAGGCAGCTTGTTGCAATTTTCACATTTCCCCTCTACCTTTCAAGCTACCTCCCACCCCTTCCCTTCTCCCACTCCCATCTCCTGCTGAGGGTCAGCCTGGGGATGGCATTTGGTGGGAATGCTGAGCAGGTTGGAAGTTCTCAGTTGGCTGGACAGTGATGAGTCCAAGTCTTGCAGAGCATCACGGGGCAGAGCAGAGGAAGCAAAGCATATGTGGACAGTAAAAAGTTAAAATGTGTTTTGTGGGTCATTTCCAGCTGTTGCCACCAGCCCATTTGCTGGAATTCCAGCCCAGGGGTGTGAAGGAGGAAGGAAAACCAAACCTGTGAGACACAGCACTGCCATGAGGAATCACCTGTCCTAGTGGGACACAAAACAGGGCCCTGTGAGCTGCACATCCCCTCCCTAAAGGATCTGCTTTCCTCCCCAGTAAACCCTCAGAGCTGCCTTCCATGGATTAGTGGAGATTGGTGTTTTTCAACAGCTGAGGAGCTTCTCCTCTCCATAACATCCTCCCTGCCCAGCAGCAGCTTCCAAAGGCAGCAATCCCTGCTTGTGTCATCCAGGTAAACGTGGCTGTCCCAGGGTTTTCCATTGCTGCAGGATTCCTTTAGTGCTCTGATCCCAGTGTGGGCTGGGATCCATCCCATGGCAGCTCATGGGCATCACCCCAGGGTGAGGGGCTGCAGGACCTGGGCACCCAGCAGAGCTTCACCCACGTCACCTGTGCCTTGCAAGATCAGCCACACAGGGACTGCTCCCGTTATCCCTTTCCCAAGGTTTTTCCCCAAACCAGCATCCTGCTCTCCTCTCCGGCTGCTTGAGCACCACCCAGAGCAGCTCCCTCCTGGCCTGGCCTGAGCTGAGACCTTCTCAGAACCAGCTGCTGGCTGGGCTACAGGGCTTTTCCCACCTTCCCTGAGGCTCTTCTTGGAATTTGGGTTAAAGGAAAGGTTCTTTCCCAGGGATCATCGCCCAGGCTGCAGATTAGGAGTGGAAAAAACTTCTTGGAGGGTTGGAGCAGCTGAGGAAATCTCTTGTTATATTTGCCAGGCTGATTTATATGAATCCTGGAGTCAGGGCTTGAACTCTGCTGCATCGTTAGCAGTTGGATCTTCTGATGATGCAATAAATCTGGGACTGCCTTGGATGTACAAATCCAGAGCACTGCAAGTGTCACTGCTGTCTGGATTGGTTTAGTGATGTTTATTGTTTTAATGTAAATCATCTTCTTTCCTGCGTGTCTAACTCAAGGCTGATTTAATGGAGGTCTTTTTCCATCCTCAAAAATGTTAAATATTTGCAAGTTCTTCACATAGGGGATTCAACTTTTTTTTATCTACGGTCACATTTTGGCCTTTTTTTAGTTAAACTTGTACAGGATGTCTTTGCTTCTTGTAATTCTCTGCCCTTCCCAAAGCCAGGACACAACCTTGGCCTGTGTTTGCTTCCATATGTGTTCCAACCTTCCACTGCTCTCCTGGAAAACTCCCTGCACTCTCCAAATATTTCCTGGAATTTACCTCCTTGCTGTCCCTGTGTTAACTCCTGCCAACTCCACTGACAAATGTTATTTGCAGAAATTTGGGACTGGAAGCAAGAAGTCCTCTCTCCCCACAAATCTTTTCCTGAATCTGCATTCCTGCTGTCTTAAAACTTATTCAGCAGCATCTCTGCTTTTTTTTTTTTTTCTTTTTCTTCCTTTTTTAAATTCTGCAAGAAGTTCCTCTGTGAGCTCTGCAGGAGTGCAGCAGTGCCACTCTGTCTCCCTGTCTGATTCCACTGGGACATCCCAGTGCCCCCATTGCCATCCCTGCAAACAATCCACAGCCTTGAGTGCCTCATTTTTTTATCAAGAACTCCATTCTGCCTTTGTGGAAAAATAAAAAAGAGCAACAAACACTTGGTTGATCCATTTCCAGCTCTTTTGTTCCAGTAAACTTCAGGAATTTTTCACCTGACTCAACTGTAGCTTCTGCTTCTACCTCTGGGGTCAGTCTGGAGCTCTTGCACAGATCCCTGCCACATCCTTTGGTTATTCCAACTAAATCTGAGAGGGAAGGAATAAATTTTGTCTTTGGGAGCCAAACAGCTGTGTTAGGAAAAACTAATGGAAGGGGTTCAAGGAGGAGTCCTGCCCGTGGCAGGGAGTTGGAACAAGATGATCTTTAAGGTCCTTTCCAAGCCAAACCATCTCAGGATTCCGTGAGGACCGGGGGAGGAACGTTTCTCTACCTGAGGATGAAGCTGGCAGTCAAATCCTACTTTTTTTCCCCAAATTTCCTTTGCTCTGCACTTCCAGCTCACTGATTCCAGGTTGAGTGGGCTGGGCTGGGAGAAGGAGGTTGATAAAATCACCAGTCTGGGACAGATGGTGTGGCAAAGCCGCAGCCTGGCTTGGCCTTTGCTGGTGGAGAATAAATGTGAAATCTCTGATTGCTGTCAAATATTGGCATTCAGGAGCCTTCACACGAGGTCACGAGCCAGTGGATTTTTGATGTGCTGGCTCTG